TCTTTCACATCAGCTGTCAATTACACAATGTCAAAGGGACACAAAAAGTTCACATAATGTTGAGTATGTCTGCGAATGTAAAGTAAACAGTTGGAAAAGAAATCACACGTACTGCACATCAGTATGAATGTCTGAAGCAGCAGATATAAAGACAAAATGTCCATTATTTATATTTAGGACATTGAGATGTCAATGACTACAATCTTAGCATTTAAGGGAGTTCAGAAACAGTGTTTACTGATATAGAGAATAACTCCCTTTAGACCAGAGATGCCCAAAGGTGGCCCATTGTAACCTTTGATTTGACCCACTATCCTATCTGAGAAAAGAATGAGAATGATGGAGAGGGTTGGGGCCAATGCCTTTAAAAAAGATCATCATTTATAATTTGACATAATATTTTTTTATAGCTGAGCTACCAAAAAAAAGCATGTTTCATTTAAATCTAGTAAATGAATCAGATTTTTTTTTTGTAATGTAAATAACATCATTCGACTGATAGAGGACTTTACAAAAGACATTAGCAAACCAAGGCAAAAACTAGTGTAACTCCATCATGTTATAAATGAGGTTGCTTTTGTTTTTACTGTAAAAACTTCATTATAAAATGTTAAAAATAATGCTGTATTGATTAATATTAGTCTTCAGCAGAATAAAACTTTAGTCAATCCCTTTTCTTTGTTTCCTTTATGCACACCAGCCATTCTGGTAAAGTCTAGATCGGATACGCAGCTGGCCGGAAGTGCGATATGTACATCCATTATAGTAGCATTTTTTATGACACTGTGTAACGATAATTAATATTTTTAAGGTCCTGTGACGGCTGGGTTTAGGGTTGGGGTGGCGGTAGACGTCAAAAAATACAATTTATTGGGTAAATTAATAGATAACATAAATAATACTCGGCAGCGCTTCATGTGTGCGACCTTTCCGGCTGAACCTAGTTGAAAACACAGGGAGCTTCTGTGACTGCGAGAAATGCAAACTGCTGAAGTTTAAGGTAGACGCAATGAAAAGTACACATGTTTGCAAACCTACCTAAAGTTACAAACAATAATTAGAGCGATCATGTGGTGAATGTTGATCTTTTGTTGAGCCCAATGAGCCTTACATCTAAAAAAAGAGCAAGGGTGTTCCTTTGGTGACATCGCTTTGACTCTCACGCTGAAAATGGCGGACGTGAAACAACAAACTGAGGATATGGGGATCAATATGGCCAGTCAATCAATATTGGTGGGCGGGAGGATGCAGTCCTACGTCAAGTTGTGGTCGATCTAAAAACCCCACCAATTGGTTTACTGGGTGTGTTTAAATCACCCCAATATGACAGTCTATACACTATACTTACACACATGTCTGTCCAAACAGCTTAAAAAGTAGATTTCTCACCATAGGCGCCCTTTAATACTGCATTCAATTTGCTAAGAAACACAGTTAAACAATATTAAAGCATGTTTCGGAAGTTTAAAAAAACAATAGGCTAAAGCGCGTATTTCCAATGAGCCTGTGTTTCACACTAAACAAAGAAAAAAAAAATATGATCCCTTTAACGCTACATTAGGCAGTTTATCAGTATCATCTGTTAAACCAAAATAAGTTAAACTCCCTTGGGATCTTTAAAACAGCGTCTACAAAAAAAAAAAAAATAATAATAATAATAATCCAAAGATTTAAACTTCTCTGTGGACCTTGAAAAGTTTCTTTTATAGAATTAATCCCCGAAACCTTTTCTGCCACTAATTGGATGGTTTATTTTTAAGAGTGTGTCTTTGAAATGAGTATTTGGAGGTTGTTCTGGGTTGTTGTTTTGAAGAGGTGTAGGCCAGAGGGACTGTCCTCTGTGATCTGCTCTTCCCACAGGGCCTTGGCGTCTTTGAACACCTGGTGTTAATAACTAACATACTGCTGCTCCCACACAAGATTATCAGCGAAGCACTCAATACTGAAGAGGAATTTGCCAAGAATGGACTGAGCCCACTGACAGTGTCATTTATTTGCACGGGTTGTCTGCGCCGCTTTAGACCCTGTTTCATTAGCGGAATTATGCAAATCAGGTTACAAGCCAAAAAATAAGAATAATATGGTAGAACGCAATTTGCATAGGACAAAACCACATCTTTTAAGCCGTAACGGAGTGCAAGGTTCCTTAAAAATGCTGAAAACACCTGTTTCTCAGGGCAAAATATATTTAAAATAAATGGCCTGCTTATGTTTTCTAACAGTCTGGTATGAAAAGTATACATATATGTACTATATTTAGCTTGAACCATTGCAAATGGCAAAACAAAGCAAAATTGTATTAAAAGTAATTAACATAATTTTTTATTTAATATTTACATTTCAGAGGATTGCTGAAAAACTACTAAGAGATTTTAACTGCTGTCTGGGCTTTCACTGCCTTTCTACACCTCCCTTTTTTCATGTGTTCGATACTTTTTTCTATTGTAATTTCATATAATTGTCTATATGTGTGTGTGTGTGTGTGTGTGTGTGTGTGTGTGTGTGCGCGTGTGTTCCCTGCTGTATTTGTATGCAGTTACAGCACTCTTCTCAATCATTTGATAAATCACTGCTGCCATGATTACTTGAAAACATACACAAACACCTGCTTTTCATTTATGATAATAGCTCAACATTAACCGCTAGCCAAATACAGCTCTATGAACAAGGCAATTTATAATAATCCAAATTTACATAAAAAGGAAGCATGTTTGCGCTGTCAGGAATGATAATACCTTAAGCACACACAAATGCAGATAGTACCTGCTTAAGCTCAATCATGTGCTTTTTCAATAAGACTGACTTGATACTCCATATGCGGAAGTTGAGAAAAATGGTTTAAAATCACATTACAATCAGAAACCTGATTATCATCTGAAACACCAATTATCATTTCTACAAAAACGCTTCTCATCGGGAATCTAAGAACTTTTGCTCAGTCTTCTGAGGCACAGTTTGGCAAACAGATCGATGTTTTTTTTTTTTAAATAAGTAATGACCTTATTCAGCATTTGTTTGTCGAGCTGTGAGATTTCCAGCTTGATGAGGCAGCAGGGTGCTTGCAACACACATTTACTGCTGAACGGAGAAATGCAGGCCTTCGTGACAAAACCCCATCCAGAAAAAAAAAAAAAAACATCTGAGCATGACTCCCTTCTTCACCTCACTCCTTAATCATCTCGCCATGCTTGAGCACCACCTGAAACCCACCCGTAGCCCGTCTCTCTTACCAGAGCTGTCCGCTTTAATTCCATCTCTTTAAAAACATCCATCTCCATTTTCCGTCTCTAGCCACTGAGCTGGCCGCCCATTTGTTCCATATCCTTTGTTAAGGATGATATGCCAGTTCGAGTTTTACAGTAAAGCAATTATTTTGTCTTGCACAGTCGAGTGGCTGGGAGCGTGCAGACCTGTTAGCTGGATCAAAATGAAATGGAGCGGGAAGCGAACCCAACGCCGGGTCTCGCTCCAACAGCTCCGCTCCAATCGCCGACAACTCTCGCAAGACAAATACCCAACCAAAGATACAAAAACATGCACAATTTGATGAGATTATCATCAATTTGTTCTATTATTATTTATGCATTATCAATCAATGAGCTTTATATAAAATAAAAATTAAATTAAATTAAATTAAATTAAATTAAATTAAATTAAATTAAATTAAATTAAAGAATAAAATTAAATTAAATTAAAACTAAACTAAACTAAACTAAACTAAACTAAACTAAACTAAATTTTAATAAAATAAAATAAATGAAAAATTTAATTAAATACAAATTTTAATTAAAATTAAATGAAAAATAAAATACAATTAAACATAAAATAAAACAAAATAAAATAAAAATTATAATAAAAAAATAAAATAAAATAAAATAAAAAATAAAATAAAATGTGTAAAGTTTCTAGAGAAGTCTAAGGAGTAAAATGTATATTCTCAAATTGCATAATTTGGGATTTAATGGAAGACTGTAAACAGGCAGTGTCAGTCAATACTTTAGGAAAAAAAACACACCTTTTCACAATAAGTCCAACAATTGGCAACCAGCAACTTTTTTAGTGCATCTTAACAGAAAATAATGCTAAAGGAACATGTTTACGTGGACCTGGCAACGCTGGTTGCTAACCAATGCAACTTCCCATAACAAAAGAGAATGCCAAAGTGGAGCATTTTAAATGGACTTGTCAACCCTGGCTGCTAACCTATTCAACTTAGCTGAGAATGTCATGATTACATATTTTAGGTGGACCTGGCAACCCTGGATGCTAACCGAAACCAACAAAATTGCAACCTACAACTTTTTAGTGTAACTTATCAGAAAAGAAGGCCAAAGTTGGCTATTTTAAGTGGACCTGGCAACCCTGACTGCTAACTGATGCCAAGAGGGACAATATGGAGAACAAGTCAGACATTTGGTGCGGTTTAAGAATTGATGCTTACTGTCCTTAGTATCATTCATTTTCCTTCGGCTTAGTCTCTATTTTAGAGGTTGCCACAGCGGAATAAACTGCCAACTATTCCGGCGTATGTTTTAGGCAGCGGATGACCTTCCATCCACAACCAAGTACTAGGAAACACCCATACATATTTAGTTTATTCAATTTCTTTATAGCGCATGTCTTTACTCTGTGTGGGACATTGGAGCGCCTGCAGGAAACCCACACGAACACATGGAGAATATGCAAACTTCACACAGAAATGCCTACTAATCCAGTTTAGACTCAAACCAGTGACTTTGTAGACAGTGCTAACTAACACCGAGCCACCGAGCCGCCCTACCTAGTATTAATAAGTCCATAAAATTTACAACTCATGACTTTCCAGTGCAACTTAACAGAGGCCACACTGGCTACTAACTAATGCAACCTAACAAAAAATGGTAATGTTGCATATTTTAAGTGGACTTGGCAACCCTGGCAAGTGGCTACTAACCGATACCAACAGGGACAACTTGGAGAGTGAGTTAGACATTTGGTGGGGTTTAAGAATCGATGCCTACCTTTGATATGCCTGAGGAGAGGTGGGAGGTGTGGTGAACACCTGGGAATAGGGATGATAAGGCGTCTTCTTCAGTGCCTGGATGAGATTCTGTCTGTATTCTGGGTCTATGCACCACAGGGAGCCCTTCCCAATACTCTGTGCAGAAGAAAGAACAATACAGACATGTTTAGTTAGGAAATAAAAAGAAAAAAAAACTGCTAACTGTGTGAAAAGACAACAATGTAGAGTGGAGTAACTACAAGATCTGGTCAAATATTTTCAGCTGTCAAACTAGTGCACTTCTACATTCACCTTTTAGTGTGCATTCATTAATTCTTTTTCTTTTACCTTAGCTTTATTTATCAGGGATTCCACAGTGGAATGAACCACCAACTATTCTGGCATGATTTTACACATCGGATGCGCAACTTTGTGTGCATTTCAGTGTAAGGAATGTTTCTATATGGAAATAACTAATGCACCGTATATGGCTTTGTTATAATTTACTTCAGATCTCAAACATCAGATCATCAGGTAAAGGATTGCAATCGTGAAAATTCAAAGATGGATAACTGAGCTTACAAATATAGCATGTTTTCCCTACTTTTCCTTAAAAAAATGGGTTGTCTGAAAGGGATAGTTCACCCAAAATTTAAATATATTCATTAATAACTTTACATAAATGTATAAATTTAGTACAAATTTCTACAAATTCTCAAGTCGTCCATAAACATGTCCAAATAACATGTCCAAACATTTATGAGTTTCTGGTCATTTTAAAGAATGTTGAAACCTGTTAGCCATTGACATGCATAGAAGGGGGGAAATACTATTGAAACCAATAACTAGTAGTTTCCAACATTTTTTAAAATATCTTCCTTTGAGAATATAAAAGAAACTCAAACAGGTTTGGAAGATGAGTAAATCATGATAGAAGTGTTATTTTTCAAGTTCCAGCAGTGTTTTTTACGGACCAAATGTGCAATATGGTCAAATTAAAACATAAAATAAAATGTAAAATGTAAAAATGTGAAAATAAACATTTTGACAAATATATTTACATAAAATAAAATAATTAAATTATTATATTAAAAAGATACAAATAAAGTCATATTAAATCAAAACACTAGCAATCACACAACAATTTATTATATAAAATCAGCTTTATTTATTTTTTTTATCTTTATTTTCATTCAACTCATTATAAAAAACATAGTAAAATGTATGACAATCATTATATTTTGCACAGAAATAAAGGTTTTGATAAGAAATTTTAATAACATTATCTGCATAACACTTTACTGCTTTGATCCATTCATTCATTCATTTTCTTTTCAGCTTAGTGCCTTTATTTATCACGGGTCACCACAGCAGAAAGAGCTGTCAACTTATTCAGCATATGTCTTATGCAGAGGATGCCCTTCTAGCTGCAACCCACGACTGGGAAACACCTATACATTTTCATTCACACACATACACTATGGACAATTTAGCTTACCCAATTCACCTATAGCGCATGTCTTTGAATTTGCGGGGGAAACCAGAACACTTGGAGGAAACCCACGCCAACACGGGGAGAACATGCAAACTCCACACAGAAATGCCAACTGACCTAGCCAAGGCTCGAACCAGTGACCTTCTTACTGTGAGGCAGAAGCGCTACCCACTGCGCCACCATGCTGCCCCTGTTTTGATCCTTGAACATTTTATTTTTCATTAAATGTTTACCCAATATATTTAGTTAAATATTAATATATTATTAATAGTATTATTAATATTAATTTTATAAGTAATAACATATAATTAATAACATATTATTCTTATGATTGTGTCACTATATTCCATATTGCAAATTTCTTCTCGTTTTGAGAGTATTGTGAACTTTTTATCCTCATTTGCTTAGGAACAAGCTTACACAGAGTTTAAGCAAAAAACAAAAGTCACTGCCAACACTTTCCAGCAAATCCCTATAAACACAAACACACATTGTACATAATAAAGCAAAACATGATCATTCAGTTCAGTTGGGAGTTAATGGTTTGCTCAGGCTAAGTGATAACAGTTTGTTTGGTCCAGCACAGTGTGCAAAGACATGTGAACCTGACCACCGGCATTACCTTGACCTCCACATTCTCCAATTCATTAGGGAAAACAGGCAGAAAAAAGGCATGAAAAACCCAAGAAGTGCAAACTCCAGCTAGCACAGATGCCACAGACCACTTAGACAGACTCAGCATTAAAAAAAAAAAAAAAAAAAACAGCACGGTGAGCGAACGCTCGCGGTATATAAATTAGCTCTCTTGACAGATCCTGCGGAAAACGAGGAAACAGCAAAACGTCACTTTGAAAGTGATATCAGGGGAAAAATTACTTGAGCTCATTAGTACGGACTACAATCAGTGTCATGTTACTGAGCCCCATTTTTTCTGGGACATCTTCTCCTTATACTGTCAGAGATTTACACCATCAGCAAAGCAGAACAAAGTGCAGACTATCAGAGCGCTTCTGTAAAAAGAAAAGCTGTTGCCTTTCACTCAGGCACTAGAAAGCAATGGACGGCACGTGCTGTTTTGTCAGACAGACTGTGTGTTCTCAATGAATCAATAGTCATGACCTTCAGATAACTGACAAGAGTGTCATACTGTGTGCCCTGGGGTAAAACACACACTGGCTTCCATCGCGAGTCACGTATTCAAACTCCAAGAGACAAACAACCTGCACACTGCTTTTGCAGGAGGATTCCTTCACATTTACTTAAAACAAGACTCTTTTTTTATACATCTCACAGTTTCCAGATATCGGGCTTTTTTCAGAAAGTGTTTTATCAGTCTGCTGGACAGAAAACATCCAAAATACACCCTTAAGTGTTTCTTTTTTCTACATTTTTTTGAACAGTTTGTGTTTGTAGATTTCAATCGCAGTACATATTTTTAAAGGCAGTTTTCTCAAAATTCATTTTTTAAATCTCCACTTTGGCAGCACATACACAAATGAAAATACTGTTTGATTCATATCTATACTATGAAGGTTTTTACAGAAGTTATAGATTAGGCATACACTCACCTGCCACTTTATTAGGTACACCTTACTAGTACTGCGTTGGACCCCCTTTTGCCTTCAGAACTGCCTTAATCCTTCACGGCATAGATTCACCAAGGTACTTTAAATATTCCTCAGTGATTTTGGTCCATATTGACATTATAGCATCATGCAGTTGCTGCAGATTTGTCTGCTGTACATCCATGATGTGAATCTCTCGTTCCACCACATCCAAAAGGTGCTCTATTGGATTGAATTATAGTGACTGTGGAGGCCATTTGAGTAAATGATTGCGATTTCGATTTGACCCCCTAAACCAGTGCTTCTCAAACTTTTTTCATCAAGTACCACCTTAAATGTGCAGTATTGAAATACAGTTGCGTAGTAGGCCCAGTAAAGCAGCTACAACCCTGCACAGTTAAAAAAACGTAGCAGATTACCTCAGAAATATAGGCTATGTGTCATATATGGCATATTATTTACATAATTTTTGATAAATTTTTAAATGTGTGTACCATATACATGACATATTTCATTCCTTTGCGTACCGCTAGAAGGAAGCCTGCGTACCACTAGTGGTACATGTACCACAGTTTGAAAACCATTGCCCTAACAATCTTAATCCAGCATTTCTACGATTCTGTCAATCATATTTTCAATTTTAGGAGAGAAGCAATGGTGGCCATTTCTTTCTTCATGTAATGTTTTACGACCGCAAAATCACACGTGATGTGAGCTGACCGTCAGATGGTATCACAGTGGGGTGAACAGAACCTGCATAGGCTGAGAATAACAGCTAATAAAGTTGAAAAAAACATTCAGTTTGTGGCACAGAGTGATTGTTTGGGAATCGCACGGGAAGTGAACCACTCTTAGCAGTGAAAATGAAACCAAAAGCGCACACAGTGTTCCCAGATGTAGCTGACTGATTCCAGTCCCAAAAGTATCCAAAACCCGCCGAAATGCAAAAATAAACATCCAGTCTTCTGAATTCACGAAAATCACGTCAGTGACAGATTTTGAGCAGAGAGTTGTTAGGGGTGTTAGGGGGTGAGGTTGAGAACCAGGATAGGATGCAGCGGGTTTTAGGCGGCCTTTTTGATCGGGTACTGTACCAAAGTTGGCAACCCGGGGGTGTTTAGTTTACAGACTACCAAAAGAGGGGGGTGGTTGAAATTACTGGAGTTTTTTAGGAAGAAAATAAAACGGGAAGAAAATAAAAACGGGATGAAAATAAAAACGGGATGGTTGTGGATGGTAAACAACTACATTTTCGACAAAAAAAAGTACAAAAGTACATTTTGTTGTCTAACAACAGTAATATTTGTCAAACTGTACCGTCTCTGTTTATTGCTGGCTGTTTGTGTCTGGAGTAATACACAGAGGTGAAGGGTGAAGACGCCTTTGTGTAATGTTACTGGCGAAATATTGCACGGCTATTAGCCAATCAGATTCAAGAACCAGACAGAACTGTTGTATAAATATATATATATAAACAAAAATTCTGTCATTAACTAACCATTCGGCTATTCCAAACCTGTTTCCTTCTTTCATTGAACACAATAGAAGATTTTTTTTTAAATGTTGGAAACTTGTAACCAATAGCTTCCGTACTATTTGTTTTTCCTACTATGGAAGTTACAGGTTTTCAGCTTTCTTCAAAATATATTTTTTAGTGTTCAACAGAATAAAGACACTCTTTTGGAAGCACTTGTGGGAGAGTAAATAGTGAGTAAATGTTCATTTTGGGTGAACTGTACCTTTAAGCAGGTGCTTAATCAATATAAACATAACAGTAAACAAACAAAGATACATTAATCTCAATGAACTGATTTTTTGAAGAGCAATGCAATGTTTCGACCTATGCGGTCTTTATCATTCAACTGGTCAACTTTTAGTTAAGTGTTTTTTGACCCTATATTCAAATGCAGTGTATTGCCTAAAGCCTAAAGTCTACTGACCTTTGTTTATCACTGTAAGTTAATTGAGTGCTTTATTAGTTTTTTTTTTTTTTTTAAAGGGGCCAAAATATATTTAACAAAAAGCTGCTTTGAGATTTCTGCAGTTTGAATGCTAGACTCCCCAGACAAGGGCTAAGAAACGATAACACACTCTAT